TATTATAATTTATAATAATAATTTATGCATTTAGCAGACACTTTTATCCAAAGCGACTTACAGTGCATTCAGGCTATACATTTTCTACTAGTATGTCAGAACCACTGACCTATATATATATATATATATATATATATATATATATGATCTATTATAGATCAGTGGTCAGCAGCACACACTTGAACTCTAAAAACATTTTACTTCTGTTTTTTTGTTCATTTTGAAATGGGCAAGTCCAAACAGCAAATTGTTCAATTGAGAGTCGCTCCAATAGGATCACTGAATCAGTGAGTCGTTAACTGCAGCATTGAGATCAATTAATTCACTGATGAATCATTAAATGCGATTTGTGAATCCATCCAATCGATTCATTAAAATAGAATGCTTAATTCGTGAATTGGACATTGCTTTCGCATCTTGGATTGGGTCATGATTTCTTCAGTTCTGAGTAACAGTGGATGGTATGTTTTATTCCAATGTTACCCAAGATATTAGTTTATCCTTTGGAATGTAGTAACTTATTATGCTTTTTTCAATCACAAACAAACACTTACCAGTACTAAATAAAAAAAAACACAGGAAATAATGCTTTTCCTGACTGTCGAGGTTAGGTGAGACAGACACAGCTGTCTCAAGAGCCTGAATGTGTTGAAAAATTATTGTTTCAGTCTCGCTGGGGGATTAAGCTGTGGATGTCTCAAATGTGTTGAGTGGGTTGAAAGAGCTGAAACTACCTTCTTTGTCAAAACTCTATGAGCCATAATGGACAAACAATATGTGGGAAGACCAACTATAACAGTGTATTTGTAACGAATGCTTCAAAATTCTGAATCATATTTAATAGATTTTTCAGTTTCTTTTCTTTGACACATTGAAAAAAAACACAAAAAAACAACATATATATATATATATATATATTTGTTTTTGGTGAGATGTGTAGTTTTCTTTTTTAAACTTTTTTTCTTACGCTAACGTATCCACCATTATTGTTTTGTTAAGTGTTTACAGTTTAGCAGCTAAACTTTAGCTGTGGGCACGATTCGCTTGCATAAGTGTTAAACAAAATGTTTTTATGTCATTATTTTAAGAACTGATTGGAGCACTATATTGTTTTATGTAAAGGTGCATGCTAGGGTTGCCAGGTTGTCACAACAAAACCCGCCCAATTGCTACTCAAAACTATCCCGAAATTTCGAGGGTGGTCCCCCTTTAAAATCGCATTCTGGGGTGTAAAATACACGTTTCAGTCGGGGTTCCCCTGGTGAATTCGCATTCCAGTACCTAAATATGACGTTATTGCGGTCGCTACAACCCTCCACATCAAAAACTGACTCTATGTATAAATGTATATTCTGGGAAAATTACAGTGTTTTCTGACCTTAGATGCATTTAAACCTGTTGTAGGAGACTCCAACACAATATTAGGACACTTTAATAAACCATATGACCTGCTCTTTAAGGCTTAAGAATCAAAACTAGTTATTGTGTTGATTTATTTTTACAGAATAAGCTAAACGTGACAGTTTAACAAGAATAAAAAGTTAAAATGAGTGTGATGCACTTTTTATTTTATGAACTGAACAAGAATACAACTGGAGCAGTTTAATGTATTAATGAGGAACATGAAAGTGTTTAAAGGTATGACAGGACACTTTCCACAGTAAATGGTGATTTACCATTTAAATCATCCTCTCTCTCTCTCTCTCTCTCTCTCTCTCTTATTTTCAGTCTCTCTGATTTCAGCTTAACATCAATACACATTGTTTATGCAATTTAACTGGTGCAAGCATGAAACACAGTGACAGCAGTTTATTTAACTAGGAAACAAAAGCTTTCAGATGGTCATGGTTGTGATGCCTTGCTGTTTTTAAATGGATTGAGCAAGGCATAAAAGGAACTGCGGCATAGATTTTATACACTAATGGGTAACACAAAAGGGGTTTGAGAGAGTCTGAGACAAAAGCGCGTTTTGTCATGTTAATGGCAGGAGTTTATCTTTTCGGGAAGACATAAGGTAATCTGTCTCTGTCTCTTTCATGCATTCTGTCTTTATCAAATGATTTCTGAAGTATAATGTCAATACTCATTAGCACAGAGCCTGTAGATGAAACATTATAGCCTGTCTCATAATAGCAGATAAATACACACACAGACACACACGCTGTCAATTAATTCTAATTATACACTTAGTACCATTACACATTACCCTTCTTATCTAAAACGAAATGAAATTGCCTAGCCAACCATATTCATTATTTATATGGAAATTCTTGCTTGGCAAATACCATTCAGCATTTATTTTCAATGAGCAACATTCCTGTGGGAGTTTTAATGGCCTGTTTCTGTCTGTTTGTTTTCAGTGTTAGATGTCTATCCAGATGTGTGTCATTGTGAGGGTCGGAAGGTGAACTGTAATGGCAAAAACCTCCTCCATGTACCTGTTGTATCCTCTAATGTAACTGCACTGTAAGTATGACAGAGAGCGAGAGACCTTCTCTTCCATTATATATAAAAGTCAGACATGTCAGATTTACTGGTTTCAGAGGGCATTTAGGTACTAACTGGCTGACCAGTGGAACCCACTAGGACCAGAAACTTTTTTTTAATCAACAGGGAACAAGACACAAATCACTATGTTTGTTTTCCAAATGTAATAGCTGCTATTTTCCTCCCATGCTGCCCTCAGAGAGCTGAACAGTAACAGGATCGAATCTCTCTCTCGTGATCTGTTCATCCGCTACAGACACCTGGAGAGACTGTGAGTGACACTTCATCCTTTCATCTCATCTTCTCCTCCTCCCATAATCCTTCTTTCTGTTATCTCTTCTAAGCTTTTTAAATTTCTGAGTCTCCTTGCCTTGAGCTCAAGTCATGATTTATAAACAATGATTAGCAACAGCTTTGCAATGATTAGTTTTTTCATTTTCTAAAAAAACACCAAACAGAGAGGTTTCAGAATATGCATGTATGTGTTTACTTAAGGGTTCAAAACAACACTCCAACTAAGAAATTGGCCAGTTGGATTATAACTTTAAAAGGAACTGCAAAAGTGTAGTGGAAACTGTAAGAATAATAGTCTCTCCCTGATGTTAGCAAACAAACAATTCAAATTGAAGATATATATATATATATATATATATATTCTAATGACTTTTGCCTTAGTAGGAAATCTGCATCAGAATTTGAAGGCAGATGATGGCAGAATATTGTGAATACTGGTTCCTCATATTAACCATTCAACCAAAACAAATATATTAGGAATAAAATGATGATATTTCTAGTTTGTATATTGCATTTGTATTTTAAGCTACAGATGGTACGATACAGCAGTGATAGGGGAAAAAATGCAAAATACAGTTTACATGGCCAACAATTCACTTGCCATTGTCAGATGTGGAAATAAAATAATTTCAGACCCTCTCATGTGCATGATTATGTGTGTGTGTGTGTCAGAGCTCCATGCATGGACATAATAGCACCTGATTTTTTCAGACTCCTCTTTACCTTACATCTTTTCTTTCTGCTGACAATAAAATCTTTTCTCCATTTGTCACTAAGTGCAGTGGAGGTTTTAAAGCTCAACTTCCTTTGTAGAGTTCAGACAGGATGACATTTTTATTGCCCATCAAAGTTCAACTGTGAAGCTCTCAATATAGCCAGACAACATTTACTCTTAGACAGATGAAGAAAGACAGAGAGAACCCCTCACAAGACATCTCATCAATTAATCATAATAAATGACAGACACTGCATAGAAAACATCATGATAAAGATAACCAGTATACGTTCATAGTTTGGTCTAAACAAACAAACAAAAAAATTATCTTTGAAAGGTTTAGATATGTACACCACAGTAACTACAGATTGATAACAGATAGTATGTTTTGCATTTGATTTGCATGCCAGCTCTGTTAGTTAGGCATAGTTGTATTTTATATCTGATATGCTATGTTAAGGGAATTATTTGTTTCCAATAAAGGGTTTATAAGTGTACTGATATACTACCATTCAAAAGTTTGAGGTTGGTTTTGATGTTTTTGAAAGAAGTCTCTAATGCTCACTAAGGTATCATTCATTTGATCAAAAAGCAGAGTAAAAACTGTAATATTGTGAAATAAATATTACAATTTAAAATAGCTGTTTTCTATTTTAATATATTTTTAATATGTAATGGATTCCTATGATGGCAAAGCTGAATTTTCAGCAGTGGACTTTTTTTCAAATCGTTCTAATATGCTGATTTAGCGCTCAAGAAACGTTTCTTTTTTTAAAACTGTTGCTATTTATTTTTAATCAAATAAAGTCTCTGATTAATGAAACTTTGATCAAATGATCAGCATTTAGTTTAAACAAAAATCTTTTGTAACATTATACATATCTTTACTGTAACTGTCAAAAAACAAAAAACGCACTAACACCAAATGGGATCATTTGCAATAAATGACTGGCTGACTGAACATATACCAATTATTACATAATTACTTAGCAATTAAATAAACAAATGGAATAATGATTTAAGTAGAAACTATTTTATTATCTGAGAAGAACCATGAAATGCAATTTTATACAACAACTTTTATACAACCATATTAGACCTCAGGATGCTGCGATTGACTATTCATTTCTTTAGGGGTAAAACTTTTTTAATGAGGCGAAAAATACAGAGCGCACCTAGAGCGACACCTCAAACTGCAGTGAATATTCTCTCTCTTTCCACAGACATTTGGAAAGTAACAGTATAGAAATGATCTCCAAGAGGGCATTTTTGGGACTGATCTCTTTGCGTAAACTGTGAGTAATGTGTAAATGAATGGAACGACTGTGTGTGTGACTGTGCAGTATTATATCAGACACACATCATGTATAATGTGACATTGATCCTTCCCTGAGCTCCTGTTTAAATCACTGTGTAACTGTACATCACTGACTATCTGTCTACGTAATTATCAGCATCCCATCTGTTTCTTCCTATCAGTCAGCCTGAGGCTTTCATCATCCACCCATTCATGTAAAAGAAAAAGAAGGGACAGAAGGATGTAACAATGAGGATGGTGGATTAGGCTTGATTCAGGCAGAACAGATCCATGATCAAAGAATGAATTTTAATGCATCCTAATGTTGTTGTGTGATTATGTATGCTTCATTGTGTACCTGGGCTCTTACTTTCAGAGATGTGCTTCAATACATACATAGCTAATCAACATTAAACTGACACTAATCAGACAGCTAGTTAGGGAGAAGAGACAGAAAGGAAGGAAGGAGACAGTAGAGGAAGGAGGAACAGCAGTGATGGTCATACAGCAGATGGTCTTTGTAATGACACATTTAACAAAATCCATTTAAAGGGGTCATATGATGCTATTTTAAAGATCCTTATTTTGTGTATTTGGTGTAACAGAATATG